TAATGCAAGGCACTGTGAGCCACCTTCAAATTTTCACTCTGAAACTCCATTTGTAAATTCAGATTATGTAGGATATATTGAAACTTAATCACGTTCTTTATTTAATTGTGTTTACTTTCCCTATAAAAGTTACCTGACCATATGTAATTTTTGAATAAATAAGTGCAATGATAAATTTTTATTAGCGACTAGAACATTGGTTTGCTTAACACGTTTTTTGGAAAAAGGAAACTGTATCATCAACATCTCATAAGAATTTCTAGTCTCATCTATGTATGGAGACTCTTAAGAATATTTTGCATTCATTAAGTCAAGTTGATTATCCACAAGAATGACAAATATTTATATTGTGTATAAGGCTTTCAGCCAAATGTTTCATAATCTGAGGAACAGAGGAAGAAGTAGAAAAAACTCTTGGATCCAATCCCTCTTTTGCAATTCATGTCCATTTTAAGTCTTTAAACATTGTGTATTTTGAACTGTGGTTATTAATGACATTTTTTTTCCAGCTGGATAGTTGTTAGGAAATTGACTAGTCAGGAAAACCAGTGAGAAAAATTAATTTATATTGTGTCTTTTTATCCCATAATTCATTTCATTTTCTAATACCATTTTGTTGATTTGTTACTTCCACTGGGTGTTGCTCTTTCTGTTGTATATGCAGTGCCCTAGTTGTGGAAATCAATTTCAGGTTTTCAAGTAAGATTTTCTCAAAACATGCTACAGTCTAAACTCATGTGATTTGCTTTTTATTAGTTCTCAATGACCCTTTGCATTATTATTATTATTATTTTTTGTTTATCTATTGCAGATCCACTCTAAATGATGAGTTGCAGCTGTGTCCTTTCTGTGGTCAACCTTTTTCTGGTAAAATCCACTCTTATATTGTTTTCTTTGCATTATTGATTTCAACCCTTTCCGTTATGAATGGTGCATTTGCAAGCTTATAAACATCCCTAAATTATTTCAGGATATAGTTTTGAAATTAATTGACTGATATCCTCAATTGCTTTTATTCACCAAAGGAGAAACCTTTTTATCATTGATAGAGACATCTATACCAATGTGATATTTCAATGCTACTACCATTTGATGGTTTCGGAAGCAGTAAGAATGAAAAAAGACTGCTTTCTATCTAATACTGTCATATAAATTTAGTAATATTCAATCAATGAATTGAAATGTGCATGTTTCTCACAGTTAAAGAAACTTTCTTTTTGATATCAGTTGTTGGCAACGAGTTTGTGAAGGACTCTGCGAAGTTTTCAAACCAATCCACGACATTTGGACAAGCGTTCAATGACTTCTCTCGTTCTAAAAATGGTAATCCTTCCAATAGTTGTCTTGATCCCTTCCAGTGCACAATGCGTATTGTAAATTTGATAATTTCTAGTTTTGTTTTGACTGTTGTAACAGGAAAGGATTCAGGTGGAGTGATTGATATTGAAGCAGAGATAAAAGATGCAGACTGACTTTAATTGAGGAAGGTGAATATATTTTCTCGTAAGATTTGTTTGGTTGCTTGCTTATAGAAGAATGTGATCAATGGAAAATTTTCTACCTGATAGGTGTTGGATGACCAGAGTTACTAACCTATCTATTTTGATCTGTATGCGTGTCATTCCTCCAGCTTCGCTGCATGTGCATGGTTGAACTCAATTAGCAAAACCAGTCTTTGAATTGCAATTCCCAAATCTCACCTAAGATAGGAATACTTGATTGTTCTTTATGCAACAATTTGGTATGAATAATGGGTATTTTGGAATATAGGACTGACAAATTTAATAATATTCTAAAAATTTGCATGCACATGTAAGCATGACTTAAAGATTCGACGATGGATTATAGTGTGGTTTTGTACTGGCATTTGAATTTTGTCTATCTTCGGCGACTAATAGCTTACTAAAAATTGAATTGCATTATCAAGGTGCATGTAATGGAGATTTTTGAAATTTATGCTCTGAAAGGCGGTAGGCATCATATTCAGCAAAATGGTGTACATATTTTAGAAGAGAATGGAATGCTGAGTAGGCATGCAATTGTTAGTTGTTACAGAAGTTTTTCGCCGTGATGATTCTCATGTCAGGCCTCTGTATATTATTTTGCTTAGTGATTCTTTACTATGTAGTTCATGAAGGGAATGGGAATTTGTATCAAATTGGTTATCGCTGCTGAGTTCATTATAAGCTCGTGAGAATTCTCTGCTGAGTTCTATGAAATTTACCTCTGTTTCTGTGGATAGATTACTGAACTTTGTTCTGGTCCTCGTCGTTTCTCTTTGAGATAACACTCATCTCCCTTTCGCGTTATCCCTGGAAACTGGAAAGAAAGAAGAATAAATGGGAAATGTCTAATGGGTTTTTATTCCAATGTAATCCGGCGTCCACATTTGATTGACTGTGGACCATGATGAGACGATCCATGCTCCACTAAGCTTTGACACAACCCTCAGCTTAGCTGTCAAAGCAAATGAAAGCTTGTGCTAATCAATGAAGAAACTAGAAGGGGTGACTATTTTCTAAATTGATTTACCGTCACGCAGAACAGAAACTGTCACTCAAAGTGGCGTCACATTATAGAAGTATCAAAATCCAGAGAGCTAGAGCCCAACAAATAAACTCTTTCCGTATGTTATATATAACAACTTCAAGCTTTTGTGATGGTTCTTCGACTTTCTGCAATGAGACATGAAACTAGAAAAGGGTGAGAGAATGCCATACTAAAACTTTCGAGGCATAACAAGTCATATATAACTGAAAGACCACCAACGCATGCACATATGACGTGCAGAATAATCAAATTGTGAAGTTATGGATGCTACATAGATTATGGATGGCATTTCAATGTGGTAAAATATCAAGCCAATCATATTTTGTACATACAACCTGACGACAATTATTAGTACTGGAATGCTCCACAACCTTAACACAGGGAGGGTGTTTTGCAACTTGAACCTAGAGTTGCTACCGAAAGAGCCACTCGTGGAGTGAAATGCTTAAAAATTTAATCCTAAGGTAACAGAATTAAGGCCCCGTTTGGTAGTTTGGAATCATGGAGAAAGAAATGGAATTGGACATGGAATCTGTTAACATGTGTGTTTGGTATGCAATAATTATGATTCTTTGGAATCAGGATTCAAGGAAATTTGATGGAATCCAATTCCATCATATGCATCATGGAATCCAATTCCATGGTTCCTTTTCTCCAATTTGCCCCTTCTCTCTCCTCCAATATAATTTTTTTTAATTTTAAAAAGGACACTTTAGTCTTTTCTTATTTTAAATACTTATATTTTATTAAAATTATATCAAGATTCCATCATTATACCAAACACACTTTTAAATCCAATTCTATTCCAATTCCAATTCCAATTCCGATTCCGATTCCATTAAAAACTCTTCCATCATACCAAACATGGCTTAAGATTTTGGATAATGGAAAAGGAAATGAACGCTCCAAAATGTTCTAAGTTGCCTTCTTAACGGTTACATAAAAGGACATAACATCTTAGATGCTATCACTTGTTAAATAGAGATACATACCAACATTAATATGATGTTGTAAAGGCTTGATGATATGGGCATGAAGAATGCTCTAGTCAAACCCATATTCACTTGTTGATAGACAATTGAAAGTATAAATGCGCGTGCGCACAGGATTGATGATACGAAGCATCGAATTTATTTTGAAATCCAATTTATTTAAGTCAAATTTTTATAAAATTTTCAAAAGCTTGAATGAAATCAAGTTAGTCATGGATTTTCACAAATAAAATATTTGAAATAAATTAGGAATGGGAAATCTCAATAATTAAAAATCATTTTAAAATATGATTATTTCAAATTATGCTTGTGAATTTGAAAAACAATATATTTTATGAAATCATTAATTTGAATGCACAAATTTTGAGAATAATTTCAGACTTTGTGTTAATAATAACAAGTTTCAAGCATTTGAGAAATGTACATAATTCAGTTTTAGACTATTTAACAATAATGAAAACTAATTTGAAAATAGTGAATTATAGATTAATAAAAGAATACAACAAGGACTAAGTGCTCATTACCCAAATATAAATTAATAGCATAGGATAGAATAAAGATAGATATCACCGAGATAGTGAAATATTGCCTGATTTGGTGTTTGAATGTCAAGTTTTCAGTTTTGCATGCATGATACTAATCCAAGTATTGACATTTAGCTCCCTCGAGTTTCTTTTATCACTTTCTTTATGTATTATACTCTTGAGGTAAATTTTCTTTCTTCATCTTCCTAAAAAAATGTAAATCTTTCATGTGGTTATGGTTCCAAATATAATTAAAAAAAGAAAAATGCGGAAACTCAAACTAGAATAAGAAGAGAAAAATAGATCAACCAAAATAAAAATATAATTAAAAACAAAGGAAAAAAAGAACGAGTAATAGATTTCAAAAACAAACCTACACCAAGTGTTTTTTACAAAAATGAAAATAAAATGGTAAATGTACAAAATAAATATCACTCAGCTAAATGTTGTGATATTAATTTATATTATATTGTAATGTAGTAATATTAATTTATATTAATAATTTAATGTATGTACAAAATAAATAATAAATGGATACAACGGTAAAATTACATGTCCACGTTTTCTACCCTAATAAATGATGATCCAAGCCCGAAAAATATCTTGATTAAGCAACGGCTAACAATAAATAAGTAAATTATATTTTATATTATGTTGTTGTTTTCGTGCATATGTTGTTTTTCTTTTTCTTCTGTTGCCTTGTTGTTTATGACCGTTCAGGCCAAAAAAAAAAAGTTGTTTGTGACCGGCTTTAAATGAAGAGAGAGTGTTTTCACTTTCCAACGTTCAAATCCCTCTACTGCGTCTCTCGACTTTCTACCCTAACCGTAAATAAATAAACTATATATATATTTTTCTTTTTTGCCAGGTTGTTTGCGACCGGCCTTAATGAAGAGTGTTTTATAACCCCGATGCTTAACGGCTAAAACATTCATTACTTATCGCATCATCTCGCCCCAAGATTTTTTCATCGTTCTTGACATGAAAAAATGCTGGGTTTTCAGACGGGAACCTAAATGCTGGGTTTTCTTCTTCCCAACTCTCCGATTCACATCTAAATTCCACTCTTGGTGTGAGCGTTTTTCTCTCCGTACGGGAGAGGGCTCCACCATTTTGGGTGGTTTCTTTTTCATCGAGGGTTTGATGGCGACAAAGGGTTTAAGCAGCTCCTTTCGCCGATTGCCATTGTACGAGACAGGGTGGATGCTTGGCTAAGGGGGTCTCGACTGAATGAGAACCAAAAGGGTTCGGCACTGCTGATGGGCGATGATTGGAAGCTGGCTCTGATTCATCCGAAGGGAGGAGATGGTAAGGTGCCCCTGTTTCAAGCTGCCTCATTTTCATTTTCTCATTTCCATTGGATGTGAAACTAATTGTACTCTAACATGTAGATACATATCAGCAAATCATAGGTACAAATTGATTTTTTTTTCTTGTGCATGCAAGCATGTGGTACAATTAGCTCTTAGAGATGTCGTTTGGGATAACTGTTTCGTGAGAGCTTGATCTACCTGTTTATGATACGTTTACGGATTGATGTAAGCTGTCTTGGTTGCTTGGCGGGGATTTAGGATAGTAATTTGGTTGTCACGTTTTATTTCTTAATGCATTTAAATCTTCCATTTTTCTTTTTGGAGTTGCGTTGATTCTCTTCGCCTGCTCAATTGATCTACTATGGATCTGTAGGATCCATTGTTAATTTCATTGTACTTGTGTTATCCATTCTCACAATCTGTCTTAGTTTGCAGAAAATTTCAGATTTTTCTCTTTGCTTCGATTTGATTTATAAGTTTTTATAATTTTAGTTTTTGCGTATAGAATGTTATCTGAGTAGTTCTAATTTTCTAATTTCGAGGATTATTTAACCCATAAAAAGGATGGCACTCGATAGATTGGTTGTGAGAATCTTGAAAACATGACGACGATGTTACATGAATCTTAATAATCCATGGTTTAATATTCCAATTTTTCGAGCCAAAGATACCACATTAATTCATTTCCATTTTTTTAAATTTTGGATGGTTGGTTTTTGTCTTATCACTTATGTAAATCTGGGTCTAGTTTCAATTCTACTGATTGGAAACGAGTTTTTCAGTCTGAAGCATCCATAGTTTAATGTGTGTTGTGGAATTTGCATTCACAATTCTCTATTTTTGTACTGGTGAAATTCAATTTATATTAATGTTTCTTAATTTGAAATTTGTCATATTGTGTTTTCCTTTCCTTATGCGATAATATCTTTTCCTTACTTAAACATGCAGATACTGGAAGGACTTCTTAAATTACCAGAAAATAAGGAGTGTGCTGATTGCAAAGCTAAGCAGGCATCTTTATATGCATGTAGTGCTCAGGAATACATCGAAGTCTAGGAGTGCATACATCAAAGGTAATGCAGTGTCCTTTGAATAGTCATTCAATTTAGGACTTGATGAAACCACTATGCACACATGCTATATATAACTTATTGCTTTCTTTCTCTGTTTTTTTCCTTTTACTTTTGATTGATTTTTTTTCTTGCATTTTAAATATTTTTTAAATATAAACACGTCTTTTTAATATCTTTGCACCTTCTTTTATTTATCTGTATTTTTTATTTAAACTTGATATTTTTATTTAGCTAAAATATGTCTTCAAAAAGTGCTGAATGCTTTATATTTTTGTTGATACCTTTCTCAATTTTTAAATAAAATTCATCTCTTATTTTCTTTAAAAAATATATTTTTGATGTGGGACTTTAGATGAAACCATCATGCATACAGACCATATATTACTCTTTGCCTTCTTTCTCTTTTTTCCTTGTGCTTTTTGTTGATTTTTTTACATTTTAAAGATTTTTAAAATTTTAAAGCTTTTTAAAATATAAGCACATCTTTTTAATCTTTCCACTTCCTACTATTTATCTATATTTTTATGATATGTTTCTCAGCTTTTAAACAAAAGTCATCTTTTATTTTCTGAAAAAAAAAGATTTTAACATTCACTTTGTTGATTTTTTTTATAACATTTTAAAGTTTTTTAAAGATGAGCACATCTTTTTAATCTTTGCACTTCCTATTATTTATCTATAGTTTTTGTTGAAACATCATTTTTTATTTAGCTTAAACGTGTCTTGAAAGAGCATTATACTTTTCATGATATCTTTCTTAATTTTTAAACAAAAGTCATCTTTTATTTTCTTTAAAAAATATATTTTCAACGTAAACTAGATGAAACCACTATGCATACATTGATACACACCATATCTAACTCATTTCATTCTTTCTCTTTTTTTCCTCCTTCTTTTTGTTAAGTTTTTTTTTAAGAAAAAATTTAAAGCTTTTTTTAAATATAAGCGCATCTTTTTAATCTTTGCACTTCTTATTATTTATTTATATTTTTTGTTGAAATATGATTTTTTTTATTTAGCTTAAACATGTCTTGAAAAAGTGTTTAATGCAATTTATTTTTCATGATATCTTTCTCAATTTCTAAATAGAAGTCATTTTTTATTTTCTTTAAAAATATATATTTTTGATGTGAGACTAGATGAAACCACCATGTGCACACCTCATTTCTAACTCATTGCATTCTTTCTCTCTTTTTCCACATGCCTTTTTTCTTTCTTTTTTTTTTTAAATACAAGGACATCTTTTTAATCTTTTCACTTCTTATTATTTATCTAAATTTTTTTTGTTAAAACATGAATTTTTTTTTGTTCAACTTTAACATGTCTTGAAAAAGCATTTTATGCATTATATTTTGTCTTGATATCTTTCTCAATTTTTAAACAAAAGTAATCTGTTTTTCTTTAAAAAATATATTTTTGATGTGGGGCCACATGAAACCACCATGCATGCACACCATATTTAACTCATTGCATTCTTTCTCCTTTTTTTTCTTTTGCATTTTCTTTTTCATTTTACATTGTAAGGCATTTTTAAATATAAGCATATCTTTTTAATCTTTACACTTTCTATTATTTATCTATATTTGTTTTTGAATCATGATTTTTATTTAGCTTAAACATGTCTTAAAAAAGTATTTACTGCATTATATTTTTCATGATATCTTTCTCGATTTTTAAATAAAATATATTTTTGATGTGGGTCAAGATGAAACTACCATACACACACCATATCTAACTTATTGCATTCTTTCTCTTTGTTTCCTTGTGCTTTTTGTTGATTTTTTATATTTTATTATTTTTTAAAATATAAGTGCATCTTTTTCATATTTGCACTTCCTATTATTTATCTATATTTTTTTGTTGAAACATGATTTTTTTACTTAGCTTAAACGTGTCTTGAAAATGCATTATATTTTTCATGATATCTTTTCCAATTTTTGTACAAAAGTCATATTTTACTTAGCTTAAACATGATTTTTTTACTTGGCTTAAACGTGTCTTGAAAATGCATTATATTTTTCATGATATCTTTTCCAATTTTTGTACAAAAGTCATATTTTACTTAGCTTAAACATGATTTTTTACTTGGCTTAAACGTGTCTTGAAAATGCATTATATTTTTCATGATATTTTTTTTTCAAATTTTGAACAAAAGTCATATTTTATTTTCTTTAAAAATATATTTTTGATGTGGAACTAGATGAAATCACCATGCACACACATCATGTCTTTTTATGCATTGTAAAACTTTTCTAAATGCAAGCACATTTTTTTACTCTTTGCACTCTCTATTTTTTATCTATATTTTTTGTTGAAACGTAAATTTTTTCGATGCATTTTATTTTTCATGATTGTTTTCTTTCCTTCTATTTTTTTAAAATATAAGCAAATGTTTTTTATTTGCTATTATTTATCTATATTTTTTTTAAACTTAACTTTTATATTCAGCATAAATATGTGTTAAAAAATTCTTATTACTTTATATTTTTATTGGCATCTTTCTCAATTTTGAAATAATAAATTTTAAAAAATATTTTTTTAATGTTAGATTTGATGAAACCACATTGCATGCACACCATATATAACTCATTGCATTCTTTTTTTTTTTCTCATGGTTTTTCTTTATTGCTTTCTTTCATTTTAATTTTTTAAATATAAGTACATCTTTTTAATCTTTTCACTTCCTATTATTTATTTATATTTTTTATTCAAACTTGATTTTTTTATTTAGCTTAAATATGTCTTCAAAAATGCTTGATGTTTTATATTTTTCTTGATTTCTTTCTCAATTTTTAACTAAAAGTCATCTTTTATCTTAATGTTTTATATTGGTCTTAATTTCTTTCTTAACTTTTTACTAAAAGTCATCTTTTACTTTTTTAAAAAAATATATTTTTAACTAAGGACTTGATGAAACCACCATGCACATGCATAATATATTACTCATTAAAGTCTTTCTCTTTTTTCCCCCTGTTTTTTGTTCATTTTTACTTTCAAAATATATCTTCTGATCTTTATTAAATATAAGCATCTTTTTATCTTTACACTTCCTTCTACTTATCTATATTTATTTTTAAACTTGATTTTCTTATTTAGCTTAAATTTATCTTCCAGAAATGCTTATTGCTTTTCATTTTTATTGATATCTTTCTCAATTTTTAAATAAAATTCATCATTTATAAAGTATTTTATTTAAAAATATATATTTTGATGTGGGATTTGAGGAAACAACCATGCGCAATATCATATATAACCCATTGCATTTTTTCTCTTTTTTCCTTGTTCTTTTTGTTACATTTTAAATTTTTTTTAAATATAAGCACATTTTTTTATCTTTGCACTTCCTATTACTTATTTCTATTTTTTTAATCTATACTTGATTTTTTATTTAGCTTAAATTTGTCTTTCAAAATTCTTTAATGCTTTGTATTTAGGGAGAATGACAAGTAAGGATCTTGTAAGAAAATTAATATCAAATTAAAAATTATGAGAGGAACTTTAGTATTGAAAAAAATCCTAATTTAACATTAACTTTTTTCTGGTGTAGCCCTTACTTGTTATTATCCCTTATATTTATCTTGGTATTTTTCTCAATTTTTAAATAAAAGTAATCTCTTTTTCTTCAAAAGAAATATGCTTTTATATAGGACTTGATGAAATCACTGTGCACAGTCACCATATATAACTTGTTAATTTCTTTCTCTTTTTTTCCTTTTGCATTTTATTAAATTTTTTCTTACATTTGAAATCCTTTCTTCAAATGTAAACACATCTATTTAATCTTTACACCTTGTTTTATTTATCTATATTTTTTGTGGAAGCATAGTTCTTTATTTAGCTTGAGCATATCTTGAAAAAGCGTTTAATGCATTATAGTTTTGATGATATCTTTCTCAATTTTTAAACTAAAATCATTTTTTATTTTACTTAGAAAAAACTATATTTTTGATGTGGGATTTGATGAAAGCACTGCATGTACACACATCATGTCCAACTCATTGCATTATTTCTCTCTCTTTTTTTTCGTTGTGCTTTTCGTTGATTTTTTTACATTGTAAAGCTTTTTTAAATGTAAGTACATCTTTTTAATCTTTTCACTTCCTATTATCTATATATATATATATATTTTTTTTTTGAAAATATATTTTTTTGAAACATGAATTTTTTTTATTTAGCTTCAACATGTCTTGAAAAAAATGTTTAATGCATTATATTTTCCATGATTTCTTTCTCAATTTTTAAACAAAAGCCATATTTTATTTTTCATAAAAAAATATATTTTTCACGTGAGACTAGGTTAGACCACCATGCATACATGCCATATCTAACTCATTGTTTTCTTTCTCTTTCTTTCCTTGTGCTTTTTTTTTTTATTTTTTTTTACATTTTAAAGCTTTTTTAGTTTTGAAGCTTTTTTAAATATAAGCATATCTTTTTAATCTTTACACTTCCTATTATTTAATCTATATTTTGTTGGAACATGATTTTTTATTTTGTTTAAACATATCTCGAAAAAGTGTTTGATGCATTATATTTTTCATGATATCTTTCTCTATTTTTAAACAAAAGTGTTCTTTTATTTTCTTTTAAAAAATATATTTTTGATATGGGACTTGATGAAACCACCATGCACACGCACATACTCCTTATGTAGCTCATTTTTTTTTTCCCTCATGTTTTTTTTTTCTTGATTTTTTTTTGTTTTTAAAGTTTTTTTTAAATATAAGCACATATGTTTTATCTTTTCAATTTCTATTTTTTATTTATATTTTTATTTAAACTTGACTTTTATTTTCAGCATAAATATGCCTTCAAAAAATGCTTATTGCTTTATATTTTTTTATATCTTTCTTAATTTTCAAATAATAGTCATCTCTTATTTTTTTTAAATATATTTTTGATGTCGGATTTGATGAAATCACAAGGCGCACACACCATATTCATTGCATTCTTTCTCTTTTTTCCTTGTGCTTTTTGTTGATTTTTTTACATTTTAAAGA